TTTGAATAAAATAGTAGTGCATATAAACTTTCCGTTCTGGGATTTTATTTTTCACGAAACTTCATAGTAAAAGTGTCACAGTTTTAGCCGCAAAGGGAGTTCCTATGGGAAATTGCATTGTCTGTATTTACAGAATTGCAACCTATATAGGGTTAAAAAATAGAACATACAGAATTTCACAAAATCTGGTTTATCTCAGAGATTTTAAAGAATTTAACTCAAATATGAAGTTTTATAAATATTTCATGAAGATTGAGAAAATCCTGGGCCTTAACTATGATGACTCAGCATAAATTCACAGTTTACAGTATGCATGGTTTACTTAAAGCCCTGAATTCAAAATAAATTCATAATATATGCCTATTTGTAATTTAAATTGTTTAGAAGTGCTTATATTTACTCTTCGCAGTAATTGCAACTCATTGATCCTTCCTAAATATTTCTGCTGGGGTGTTTTTGTCCTGTCGATAACCCAAAAGTAAGCCGTAATGCCTAAATGTGCTTTTTTGTGACTGCGGCATAAAAAAGTACAAGCTAGAATTACAAAAAGACCTCAGTAAAACTTACAATAGTGTGTTCTATCCTAAATATGTAGTAAATATTCCACATTGCTAGAAACAGGGAAAAAAATTAGGAAATGTGAGGCCCCAGGGGCAAAACACAGAGAAAAATGCCTACCCCTGAGTCATAAAACAGATAATTTAACTTGTAAATGCTATGATTTTTTTATTTTAAAGGTCTTTTATAAAGTAAACAATAACTGTGCTAGGAAGTTATGCAAAAATCAGATGTAAGCAGTCATTTCAATCAAACTTTTAGTGAATTTATGCACCAGACTGATATCTTCATAAATACAACTTTTGCAAATATGGCTTTGTTTAAACACTTCTAGGACATATATTAACTAACTTATGTTAGATATATGGTTAGGGATGATACTGTTGTGACAAGAATTCTAAACTGACCATTTGAGGCAGAAATTGTGAACTTTCATTGACAAATAGGCATACAGTAAGATGTGGACTGGAGACACAGGCAAGATTGGATACTTTGTATAATCTTGAATGTTGGAATGCTTAACTACTAAACAATACATTTATAGTATTCTAAAATGCTTTCAATTTGTTATCAGAATAGTTTCAAACAGGTTTTAGACAGTTCATGTCAGAAAACATGCACATAGGGTAAGCTGGCAATAATTAGAGTCTTGTTTTCAAAATCTTTAAAAAATTGAAACAGGGGTAGGGGTATAAAATGTACTGTAAAAGGAGACTTAGAGTATATGCAGTGATTTCTTTAAGGCTATAATTCTGATAAATAAGTATTGTTGTGAGAAAAAGTGTTTTTAGAGAGTTTTCTATTTGAATAAATGTTTGTATAGGTTGCACTTTGTAAATACAGCTGTTTCTCAAACCACGCCTCTTTTGGGGAGATATTTAATATTCATAGGTATGTTAATTTGTTAACGTACTGGTTCCCATTGATGATCTCTGTGTTTCATCTCATAGAGACATCACTTGGGAATGTAACCAGTATAGAAAAACATGGTAGCGGCTAAATTTTAATTCTTAGGAGGTCCAAAAATGGAGGTAAGGGTAGTATAGAATTTTAGTATAAGTTTAAACTCTTAGAAGTTCAGGGCATATAAATGTTGAAAATATGCCGCACAGCCCTATATTTTGACCTTTGAATAAAATAGTAGTGCATATAAACTTTCCGTTCTGGGATTTTATTTTTCACGAAACTTCATAGTAAAAGTGTCACAGTTTTAGCCGCAAAGGGAGTTCCTATGGGAAATTGCATTGTCTGTATTTACAGAATTGCAACCTTAACTTATTTTCGTCTGTGTGTTTTATCCCATTGACATTAATACCACATACTATTTCTTTATGACAAACTTACATGTACATAGGACCAAAAAAAAATAAAAAATACGGTATACCTATATTCTCTGTATAAACTCTGTAATGGAAACAGATAATAAAGATTAGTGATGTGTTTAAGAAAATTATTGTCAATTCCATCGAAGCAGATCTCTAATAAGCCATATTCAAGGTTTATGACTGAATCTGCCTCTGGCCCCCATCTGTAACAAACATTAAATTTACAAATTAGTAGTGTTGGGGAATGTTGGCGTCACTTCTATCAAACAGGCCCTTTAACAATCTCAGAGTAGAATGATCTTGTTACTATTGTATAGCGTTACGAGAACTATATGCTACTCTCCCTAGTCTGCTACAACGGAGTCTATCCAAGGTCTATGACTGAAACATCCTCCCAGCTGCATCTGTAACAAAAATAAAATTCATCAATTAAATGTCTGTGGTAAACCTTAAAATGAAATAGAAATACATATAAAACATTACACATAAAAACATAAAATAAAATGGATCAACCAACCTTATTTCAATTCTTTGAAGTAACTTTGCCCCCTGAAATGAAATATAAATATTTATTATACCTCAATTATCATTATCTATATAAAATAAGTACACAATATTTTGACTTACAAGCTTTGAACTATTGGACTGGTCAATAGTTTCCAACTATTGGACCTCGTTGAAACTACTTGACTGCAAGCTTCATTATATTTCGCGGGATTTCCAATGCAGCTATAATGGAGGATTTTGAAAATACCGGGGAGAGTAATTCTTACCTATTGTATCTAGAGTTGACGTCAGTGCAAGATGTAGCCTTAGCATTTCAGAATATTTATGAAGTAAACGTTATGGTTGGGTTTCTGCTTTATATATTACGATAGTTGATTTATCACAGCCGAATTATTGTCTGTTGTCTTTTTTTGATATAATAAAACACTTACGGACTGGATATTTGTGGAAAAGTAAGTTTATTGTCCCCTCGGATACAACTATTGCCCTCGGCCACGCCTCAGGACAATAGTTGAACCATGAGGGACAATAAACTTACTACTACATTCATACACAGTCAATAAGTATACAATATGCATTACACATAAACATATAAAAAAAGAAGATTATTATATATAAAACAACCTTTTTTTTAGTTCTTTAAGTAACTTTAAACCTTTATAGAAACTTGAATTATTTTTTTTCAAAGTTTTTTTTACCTCACTTTACCATAAAATTTGCAGGGAATAAGACTGCTGTCAAAAAACAATATAATATTTTTACTTTCGAAGAAAATTTCTCTCAAGCTAGTCAAAAATGGAAGCATAAAAATTTTAGTTTTACCTGTGAAAGAATATTTTATGGGACCAAATTAGTCAGGGATGCTGTTTTTTGTGGTTGCTTCCTTTTTATTAAATTTTGACATTTCTTCACTTTAAAGATCTGACCATGCTGTACATATGTGCAACCATCCACTACTATTGGTCAAATTAAATGTTGCATGCAATACAGACCAAAATGAGGTTCAATTTTCGTCTTGGAAAACAATATCATCTATGTTTTTAAGCTCAATTTTACAAAATTTACCCAAGTGGCTGCTTAAATCAAATTATTACTTTATTATTTCATTTTAATTAATGTTTAAAAAAATCCTGTTACCCTTTAAGGGATAAATATTTTAAATGTTGGTTTTTTTCAAACTTTAAAAAATGAGTGGAAGCTGGCTAAAATACACAATATAATTAAACGTTTTTTATAACCATTTCAACCTCAAAGTAAAAGATAGTCTTTCCTAAGCGTGTCTCTAGCTAAGCTTTACAAATTTGTTCATTAATTTTTTGTTGAGGAACAGTGACAACCTCTTTGTCCAAAAAAGTTTACTCTAGTGCATAAACCCTCAGCCTTGCTACCAAAAGTAAAAAATATAAATTAATGGAATATTGAAATCAAATCTTCTCAACACTTGGAATAGATAAGCTGGGTTTTAATCAAACTCATTTAAACTCTGCACACACTAAAAATAAGTCTACAGTCAAAGTCAATCAGATGTCTGGCAGTTATAATGCACTGAACATTTATATGAAGCTAAGGTACATATGTTTCTATGTGAGACCTCATCTAAGAGATCAAAGCACTTAAAACTACCAACAATGAAAGAGTGCTTTCCATGTCCTCAAACTTGGTCGCCAATAGTGCATTCAACTCTATTGAGTACCGGTACTTATTTGTCAGAAGTCTCTGTGCATCAGTCAAAGTGCTGGTGAAATAGTCTCTACAGAGTAGAAATGAGTAAAATCTTTTAAATAAAAATTCTTTTTCACAAACTTGTATATTAACATTATCAAATAGTATTTGCATAATTATGAAGTAGGATACACTTTTGACATGTTAGTGTGATGATGTGGGTCTCCATGCTGTGATGTTTTGTTAGAATGACATCCTACATCACTGCCTTATTTTTGTGGAAAATGAAAAAAAAATGTGTTGATGTAAGCATGGCAAAGGGTTATGTTATATAACCAATTTCTGTAATTCTTTATCTTCAGTTATCAATTATGAATATAAAAGACATTACAAATAGGAACAATTGAGAGAAGAAATTCAGTTTCTTTTAAAAATGAAATTTTGCTTCATTTAAAAACACATAAGAAAAAGCTATCAAAGTTACCTCCCATTGATAAAAGGTGGTTTTCATCAAAACAACTTCCATTCACTTGTAAAAATTTGAATAAATTAAAGTACCAGAGCAATTGATAAATTAACAATGTTAAAGGCCAATGATAAAGTATTTAAAAAAATAACAGGATTTAATTTTTTCTCTTGGTGTCATCTCATAGATTTTCAAAAATGTTTAGTTGCATCTGGTAGTTTTGTTTAAAAGAACATAAATTAGCAAATCTAAACTTTGAAGCCGTTCAAAAAAATAATTCTGCTTGAAATTATGTAGTTTGATTTAGGCATTGCACAAGTTTTCATATCAACAGGTCTAAAAATTTGAGCATTCTTCAATTCATTTCTAAGGGTGGGCTTTGAGATATGAAAAAAATACTTTCGTTGGGTTGCTGCTTCATTGATGTATACCTGCATCCCCTTTTTTCCTAATGAGGATCTATGAAAAAAATTATTGTGTCCTGATGCATAATTTTTAACCAACAAAAAAATACTTACCATGTATAATTATAGACGAGGTTCTTACCACACTCTTTGGTAACTACAAAGATGGATATCTTACTGTACACATTGCTTACTCTTCAAGGTCATTGCTCAATTTTTGGGTTCCTGAAAAATATCAGTTTTGTATATAATATTTGAAAGGTTGGAAACTTATATTATTTCTGGTTCTTTAAAAAATTTCAATCTAAGACAGTCATCATGGTCATATGTTTTCTTTGATGCATCTCCTTTAATTATTGCTATCTTTCACTTAAATTCTAATACTGTAAATTTAGAAATTATTGCAATGTTTTTATTTATTATACAGGATTTTCTCAATATCACAAAAAATAAAAACAATTTCTGAATTTACAGTACATGTATATTTATCTCAAAAAGATATTAATATTGTCCTGTAAAAATAACCGATCAAAATCTTTTTTGCATGCAGGTATCATTAACTTTGATTATGGTTATTGTTCCATGACCTATGGCTGTTTATAAACAGAAATTGTCTCAATAACAATCATACCACATCATCTTATTAATACCAGTATTATTTATACTGTCAAACCCAGTCATTTGTTTTTTTTCTTTCTGTTCAGATTTGTTAGCTTATAGGTTGAACCTCTGTAAATATAGACAATGCAATTTCCAAAACGAACTCCTTTTAAGGATCAAAAAAAAAAAAATTACTATAAAGTTTCGTAAATAAACTGTTATCACACAGAAATGTCTCGCTTTTTTGTAATTTTAATAATGGAAATATTGAAATTAAAATAGCAACACGGCAACACTTTAACATGTAAGTTTTGCAATTATTCAAAGTAAATGAACCCTGACTGAAGGTACATGTCAAAGCAATTTCCATGGAAATGAGATGTATCAAAGCTAATACAACTGCATACCAAATACCACTGACTTATCATAAGTAGTTTCCTTAAAACAAACTTAACAAAAACGAATACATGTAAACTAAGCAAAATTTCAGTCAATAAACCATAACTGAGGCGGTGGGGTCAAATAATCTCCATTGTAATGAGATGTGCCAATGCTAATACAACTGCATACCAAATATCATTGACCTACCACTAGTGGTTCCCCATAAACAGACCTAATCACAAACTAATACCGGTACATGAAAACTAATAAAAGTTTCAAAGTCAATAGACTATGACTGAGGGGGCAGGGCCAAATAATCTCCATGGAAATGAGATATGCCATTGCTTATACAACTGCAGACCTATTATCATTAACCTACTACTAGTGGTTCCCCATAAACTAACCTAATAACAAACTAATACATGAAAACTAAGCAAAAATTACAAAGTCAATAGACCATAACTAAGGGGGCAGGGCTAAATAGTCTCCATGGAAATGAGATATACCAATGATTATACAACTGCAGACCTATTATCATTAACCTACCACTAGTGGTTCCCCCTAAACTAGACCTTATCACAAACTAATACATTGTTGATGTCGCCGCCGCCGAAAACAGCATACCTATGTCTCGCTATTTTACTCTGTCAAGCGAGACAAAAATAATATCCTGGAATCTTAAGTTCATATGCACTATTATTCTTTACAAAGTTCAAAACACAGGGCTGTGCAGCATATTTTCAACATGTTTATGCCTTTCAAAGCCTTTTTAATACGCAAGGTAATTAATATTGTACTTAAAAAAAAAAATCATTTTAATGTTGAAAATTGATGAAGGGAAATGTAATATTCAACCAAGACAAACCTTATAGATGAACGCAACTGGCCGATTCTTTTATATTGTTGTATATACTATACAGCCTAGGTTTTCTGTAGGTCTTCTTTAAGTTTCTGTGGTTTAACAATTCATCAAAATGAGAATGTTGTGGATAGTCTTTTAAATTCTCTGAAATACAAAATTCAATTTACTTTTCCATATATATATGCCTTTTTCAGCTGCACTGGTTTTTCTGTGATCAATTTGCTGTAATATTTTCAAAAGCATACACAAAAACATTATGATTGGTTTAAAAAAATCTTAAAAATGGAAATTAATCAATGATATAACGTTGTTTTTTTTGGGTGTACAACCAATGAGATTACCCATAGTCCTTAGATTTTGAAAAGGAAAATTACATTTGTTAAGTAAACACAGCCAACTTTGCCAAATGATTATGATGAACTAAAACCAAAGGAAATTACATATAATAAGCTTTCCAAATAGATACAATGGTCCCAATTGATTATATTAGTAAACTCAAGGAGATGGTGTTCATTACCTCTTTGTTTAATTAAATGTCTTTTACTGACCTTTGTGGCATTTTAAATAGCTACTGAAAGTACATATTTCTTTGAAAAATATTGATTTTAGTTGAAATGATAAGACGTTTTTTCAGTGGGAACTCACTTTTGTCCTGACTGTATATACTCTGAGTCTAGCATTGTTGAAAATCTATATAATGACTATAGTGTCTGGTTTTCCTATCTAATACCAATTTAGATGACTTTAAGTTCCTAGAATCCAAGAACTGAAAAGAAACATTTAATATTAAAACAAGTCAATGAAAAAATGTTATACTTCTCAAATAAATAAACCAACATGAAGAAATGGTTAAGAGTCTGACATCATTGTGTTTCCCATCCAACCTTATTATGTATCAAAAATTTGTGAAATCTTTAATTCTTTAAAAGTAATTTTCTGGAACTAAAAGTTTGAAATCCAGAACAGAATACATTAAGGTTTATGACCCCTTCTGTAGCCATCTGAATTCGAAATTTTCAATCTGCAATAATATCAAAACAGCAAAGATAATGTACAGTAGAGATTGGCCATTTTGTACATATACCAAGGGGAAACTTCGAACAAAGCATTATTATTTATAGTTTCATTGCATTCGATAGAAAATGGGAATTTTGAGACAAATAAAACCAGATTTTTGTAGAAAATCCACAGACTTTAATACTGAGATTTTCGTTATAAAATTCTAAACATAAATTACTAACTTGTTTGTCCATGGTGTGCTAGCTTTTATTGTTTACAAAAAGTCCTAAATAACCTTTTAATTCCAAAAAAAACTCGTGGTGAGTCATTAAAGTCTAGCGCACCCCGGAAGGCGTACTTGAATAGGTCCGTATTTACATTTGTTTTAACCAATATCTTAATTTATAATTTTGTTTTAAGGAAATCATTGCTAGCACTGCATGCAATTATCGTCTATCAATCAAGCACCGAATTATCAAATATTAGATTACAAGGGGAAAGGCTGTGGATTTTCTATAAAATTTCCATATGTTTATCATTTAACATGTTGAATCAACAGAAGGGTACATAATCCTTAAAGTAAATAATTATTACTACATTAAATACCTTAAACTCGTCATGAAACTTTAAACTTTTTCATGTCTTCAAAAAATTTCAGGAATTAATGCAAGTCTTTGTGACTTGTCCAAGTAAAGATCAAACTAATTTGAATTCAAATCCTAAACCTGTAAGTCACATGATCATACGTACAGGTAAAAATCTTTTCACTTGAAATCTACTCACTTCATACTTGAGTAACTGGCAGGGTAGAAAAATATAATAAATGAAACCTGACACAAGGTGTTTCACAAAATATGTAACAGAATTTTGTTCAGATAATAAAGCATTCCCCTAAAGGGAAAATGAACAGTAAAACCTAATAAAATGCTTCGCTGGGGCGCAGCTTGATACGACCGCAGAGGTCGAACCCTGAACAGTTGGGGCAAGTATGGACACAACATTCAAGCTTGATACAGCTCAGAATTTGGATTGTTATTAAATATTTGACACAGCATAGGTTTCTGACACAGAAAGAATGTGGTCTAAGAACTTGAATTTTTTTAATTTACCTATTATGGTCCAATGTCCAAAATCAAAATACATGGTTAGATTCAGCATATCAAAGAACCCCTTATATTCAATTTTTGTTAAAATCAAACAAAGTTTAATTTTGGACCCCAACTTGGACAAACTTGAAAACTGGGCCCATAATCAAAAATCTAAACACATGTTTAGATTCAGCATATCAAAGAACCCCAAGAATTCAATTTTTGCTAAAATCAAACTAAGTTTAATTTTGGACCCTTTGGACCTTAATGTAGACCAATTTAAAAAACGGGACTTAAAATTAAAAATCTAAATATACGGTTAGATTTGGAATATCAAAGAACCCCAATAATTCAATTTTTGATGAAATCAAACGAAGTTTAATTTTGGACCCTTTTGACCTCAATATGAACCAATTTGATAGCGGGGCCCACAAATAAAAAATCTAAATTCTTGGTTAGATTCAGCATAACAAAGAACCCCATATATTCAATTTTTGTTGAAATCAAAAAAAGTATAATTTTGGACCCCAACTTGGACCAACTTGAAAACTGGGCCCATAATCAAAAATCTAAACACATGTTTAGATTCAGCATATCAAAGAACCCCAAGAATTCAATTTTTGTTAAAATCAAACTAAGTTTAATTTTGGACCCTTTGGACCTCAATGAAGACCAATTTAAAAAACGGGACCCAAATTAAAAATCTAAAAACACGGTTAGATTTGGCATATCAAAGAACCCCAATAATTCAATTTTCGATGAAATCAAACAAAGTTTAATTTTGGACCCTTTTGACCTCAATATGAACCAATTTGATAGCGGGGCCTACAAATAAAAAATCTAAATACATGGTTAGATTCAGCATATCAAAGAACCTCATATATTCAATTTTTGTTGAAATCAAACAAAGTTTAATTTTGGACCCCAATTTGGACCAACTTGAAAACTGGGCCCATAATCAAAAATCTAAATACATGTTTAGATTCAGCATATCAAAGAACCCCATATATTCAATTTTTGTTGAAATCAAACAAAGTTTAATTTTGGACCCCAACTTGGACAAACTTGAAAACTGGGCCCATAATCAAAAATCTAAACACATGTTTAGATTCAGCATATCAAAGAACCCCAAGAATTCAATTTTTGCTAAAATCAAACTAAGTTTAATTTTGGACCCTTTGGACCTTAATGTAGACCAATTTAAAAAACGGGACTTAAAATTAAAAATCTAAATATACGGTTAGATTTGGAATATCAAAGAACCCCAATAATTCCATTTTAGATGAAATCAAACAAAGTTTAATTTTGGACCCTTTTGACCTCAATATGAACCAATTAGATAACGGGGTCCACAAATAAAAAATCTAAATACATGGTTAGATTCAGCATATCAAAGAACCCCATATATTCAATTTTTGTTGAAATCAAACAAAGTTTAATTTTGGACCCCAATTTGGACCAACTTGAAAACTGGGCCAAAAATCAAAAATCTAAATACATGTTTAGATTCAGCATATCAAAGAACCTCATATATTCAATTTTTGCTAAAATCAAACAAAGTTTAATTTTGGACCCTTTGGACATTAATGTAGACCAATTTGAAAACTGGACCCAAAATTAAAAATCTAAATACACTGTTAGATTCGGCATAACAAATAAATAAATGTGATCAAAGATTTTACAAATCTAATGCGCCATACTGTGCAATTAAAGATTACTTCTTGAAATTTTTCAATATTTGAAATTTGAAAAAAAAATAATATTTGAAGAATAATTCTTTTTAATTTCTGAAATCTGAAATGAGAAAAAATTGGCCCCCCACAATTTCTTTTTATCCCCCCCCCCCCTTTTTCCCCCAAAAAAATTCTTTCCCTCAAGATATGGTCATAATCTCAATTCAAATTTCCAATGGAGTTGGCAACCATAATTACCCATTTAAATTTACCATAGTGCTAACTTAATCTATTTTATAATAGAATTAATAAAAATATAGTGTCAAATCTTTCATATGGATTTTTTTGTAAAAAAAAAAGATGAAAACATTTGCAGATATTTTTACTGGTCTTCCTTTATAAATATGCATTTCTTTAAACATAATTTAAAAGCAGTGTAAGGGAAGTAACCAAAACGTTGTATTTGGATTACCTCCCTTACACTGTTTTAGATTATCTTTATTGTTCATTAACCATTACTTTATACATAATTTAAAAGCAGTGTAAGGGAGATAATTTCAATGATGTATTTGATTTATCTCCCTTACACTGCTTTAAATTATGTTTTGTACTAAAGTATTTGTCCATTAACCAGGACAACCTTGTTTTTCCCCCTTTTTTGCCCCTAATTCCTAAACGGTTTGAGCCATAACCCCCCAAAGCAAATCCTAACCATCCCTTTGTGGTATGGAAACTTGTAGTATAATTTCAGAGAGATCCATACACCGTTCCACAGTTATTGTCTGGAAACTAGAAAATGCTCATTTTTGGCCCCTTTTTGGCCCCTAATTCCTTAACTGTTGGTACCATAACCCCCAAAATCAATCCCAACCTTCCTTTTGTGGTATTTAACCTTATGGTCAAATTTCAAAAAGATCCATTCACTTAAACTAAAGTTAGAGTGCGAAAACCAATATGTATTCGGACGACGACGCCGGACGACGACGACGACGACGACTACGACGACGACGACGACGCCAACGTCATACCAATATACGACCACAAAATTTTTTTGCGGTCGTATAAAAACATGAGGCTCCAATAACCTGCATAATTTTTGAAAATTTTGCATGATATTGTCTAAAGCATTTAAATGGGTACATATCTAAACACTGATATTTGGGTTAACTCAGTTAAAAAAAAAAGTTTTTACAATATGAACAAAGTTAATTTTGGACCCTTTGGGCCCTATGTTGACCCATAGTAAAATGTGGCTAAAATAAAAAAAATCCAAATGCACAGTTAAATCAGGGACAGTCTATACTTAGTATAGAAAGTCCCTGGTTAAATTCAGCATATCAAAGAACCTCAACAATGCAATTTTTGATGACACTTTAGACCCCAATGTGGACCAATTTAAAACGGGGCCCAAAATCTGAATACAAGAGTAGATTCAGCATATTTTAAAAAGTTTGATTGATTGATTTTTGGTGTTTTGGTGTTAATATCAAGATCAGAATAATGTGATAAAGAAGAATAGTTATACACCAAACACACATCAGTAAACGTTTTACTATCACGGGGGTCATAGGACAATTTCAAAGTCAGAGTGACCTTACTTTGGTAAATGATACACCCAAATCTCCATGTTGTATCAGCATAACAAAATTGGTCTACCTAAGTTCTATGGTACAAAAATTATGAGTGACCTGACTTTTGGATATGACACATCCTTGAAGCCCATGATGCAACTGCATACCAAGTTTGGTTAACGTAAGTTGAATAGTATAAAAGTAACCTGACACAGACGGACAGACACATATTACTATATTAGATACGTGTAAGCTGTTCATCTACAGTAGAGACATTATGATTCACTATAATATCCACCAAATCTGTGACTGTTGTGTGGGACCATAATCAGTTCTTTGAATAGTTATTTCCAATATAGAAACAAAGTTGTTATTGGTTGCTTGTAGAAAAAAATCTTATATAAACTTGATGCACCTAATGATAGTGTTGGTCAATTTCTAATTCATCCCACAGTTTAGAATAAAAGTAGATGTTTGGGATGTGTTATAGAGAAA